GAGCGCAAGGAGGCCGAGGCCGGTGGCCGCCATGCCGCCGCCCGCCGCCGCAGCAGCTGCCGCCCGGTCGCCGCCGCCCGCCCGCAGCCGGCGTCCTCCCTCTGCGTCACGCTGCTGACCGCCGTGGGCCGCTCCTCTCAAGCAGTGGCGAAGCGTCCCGGCTCGCCGATAGCCCCACCAAACAATGTTCTAAGAACCTTTTGTGGTTCCCACGAACTGTTCTTAGAACATTTCTGGCTGGGACTGTCTTGTTCTAACAGAGCGGGTTTATGTTCCAAGAACACTGCTTTTGTTCTTGGAACATTTTCGGGTTCTAAGGACATTTCGTGGCAGGGCTATAGGGACGGTCGGCTCCTGCCCAAGTCACGCTGCTGACCGTCGCGGGCCGCTCCTCAGACCCCGAGGGCCGGGCCTTGCAATTTTTTCTACCGCGGGCGGTTTCGCCAGCTTCTGTCAGGCCCCTGGGGCCAGCGCAGATCGAACCGGCTCGAGAGCCATGCCGCAGAGAGGTGGGGTCTGGGGAGCTGGTCGTGGTTTTCTCCGATGTTACCAGCCTCGAACATATCCCTATTCCTAAGATTGACACGCCCAAAGGCGATGACAGTCTTAGGGATGCGCCCTCAAAAAATAATGGACTCCCTAAGATTGGCATCGTGAGGAGGAGGTGCCCAGCATAGGGATAGGGATATGTCCCAGGCTGGTAACGATGGTGCGATTTTCTCGCGACGTCGGCTGTCGGGGGAGGGGCACGTGTTCGGGCTGGTCTCTTGCCTCCGAGCCTGCTGCGCTCGGAGACTCGGCTAGCGTGGGGCCGCCGTGCCTTTTCCTAGCCTCGCACACGCCGCCACACCGGGAGACCTCTAAGCTCTAAGCCCAGAGCGTGGTCCGTCTTTTCGCTGCACCGGAGGCTGTCCGGCCACCGCGTCAGAGGGGCACCGTTTTTTCGGGCGTGGGGGGGTGAGGCCTTAGCTCACCCGCGCCAGCACGGTGTGTGTGTGTGTGTGTGTGTGTGTGTTCGCCCTGCACTTGCCCACCCGCGCCTACGCTTTCTCATTCGTCTCGGACGTTCCGGGCCTCGCGTCGCGCGATTGCGCCTCACCGTCGCCCGATCGCGTCGAGACTGACGGAATGATGCCTTTGCGGCAGAAGACCCTAAACAGCTGCGCCAGGTGTGCCACGTGCGGGGCACGAGCAGCGTGTGCCAGGTGCGCCCGCGCACGTGACAGCACACATCGGGAAACGCCCCCCACCATCCTTGTCGAAAACCAATGCGCAGTCGCGGCGGGGAGGCCATCAGAATGTCTGGGCCTGCACATAGCATGCAATATGCCAGCACCCCCGCCGTCTTTTTCAAAACCCCACGAGCATGACCCAAGATTCTGCTCCTAAGTGTATTCCTCATTGTGTTTTGACTTGGACGGTGGTGTGTGTGTGTGTGCGTGTGTGTGTGTGTGTGTGTGTGTGTGTCATTGGTCCTGGTTGGCTGCTGGTCGCCTGGGAGAAGGGGTCTATTAAGAAGGAGCAGAGATGTAGGGCCAGGGACACCTGCGCAGGACAACAGTCGGAAGCTGGAACATATCTATTACCAGTGGCGGGCGGTTTTTCAATCCCAGAACTTTTCGAGGGTCGGGGACGACGTCGGGGTGGTGTGGTGTATACTTGTTTCCCATTTCCCGGGGGGAGGCACCAAAACATGTATACACCAGGATCCGTACACCCCAGGATCCGGTTTCCTGTGCGCATTGCAGTGCGGAGGGAAAAAAGCGTCGGTGTGTAGAGTTCGGCGCCTTAATGAAGGCAGATGGACAGGGAGTGGGTCGACTAGACGTGAGAGTGACCTTCCGCCGGAGTGACCTGTGGTGCGGGCACAGATGGGTCCCCAGATGGCTGCAAACGAAGCAGCAGCAGCTGCTTGCGCGCCCAGGTTTGGCCCCCCCGCGGCCCCCCAAAAAGTCGCGCACCAGAGGTCACTCTATTACCCAGGGGTCACTCCTACGTGTAGCCGAGTGGGACAGGGATGGCGATGGCGATGCGGAGGATGCCACGGGCAGGGGCAGGGATCCAGGCAAGAAGGGGGGCCACGGGAGAGGCACCTCGCGCACACGGGAGGCCCTGTCGCCCGACCGCTCTCTGGATCCTGCAGCGCACCTGCAAGCGTCGGGAGGGAAAGAAAAGCACACACACAGACATAATGGATCGTCGATTCCCCAGGAAAGGATGGGAAACTGTGGGAAGGGGGGGGGGGGGAAGACGAACACCCGGGAACTCTGGGAACAGACGGGGACGCCTGTTCTTTGTGTGTATTTATCTCTGTGCGTCCCAGGGCCTCATTCAGACGCACAGGCAAGGTTCTTCGGAGTTTCTGCAGAACCCTTGCGGACGACAAGCAGGTCGGGGGAAAGCCGCATGCTCGGGCTGGGGAATGTCCTGTCTCGTGGCCATGCCTCGTGATGCAGCCCCGCGCGGGATGCGCCTTTTGAAAACGGTGCGCCTTTCATTCAGGAGGGGGAAAAAAAAACACACAGACACAATTAATCGTCCACTCCCAGGAAAACATTGGAAAATAGGGGAAGTGGGGGGAGGGGGGAAGACAAAAACTCAGAAAATATATGAAAATATGGGGATTCCTTTTTTTTTCGTGTGTGTGTGTATTTATCTGTGTGTCCCAGGGCCCCATTTACTCATGCGCGAAGTCAGGAACCCCAAGCTTCCAGGGCCGAGGCTTCGACGACGTCTCGTGTCGGGACCACAGGAGCGCGGCGGCGGGGGCAGGAGGAGGACGACGAGGAAGGGGCCGGGCATCCAGACGACGAGGAAGGGGCGGGGTATCCAGACGACGAGGAAGGAGGAGGCCGGCGAGGAAGGGGGAGGACGAGGAAGGGAGGAGGACGACGAAGAAGGAGGAGGACGACGAAGAAGGAGGAGGACGACGAGGAAGGGGCCGGGCATCCAGACTCGGGGCCCGCTCTCGGCGTGGAGCGCCATCCTGAAAGACGGGGCCAGAGCGCTGGTCATGAAATGTGGCCGTCCCTGATTCTTGGAGGACCGGGATGTTCCGATCCGGTGGACAAGAAACACAGTAAGGCCAATGTCGGAAAGCCGATGCAAATGAAAACCTTACGGAAGAGGGGCGGGAGCCCCGCTGGACGGTGTCGAGAGAAGCGGTGTTTTGGTTACGGGGGGCTTTCCCTGGATCTCTGGAAGCTTCGGGGACTGAGAAGAGTACAGATGGTTCACGTTGTCAGGTGGGCGTGGGGCGGTGGTGGTAGTGGTCGACATCGCAGCCCACCTTTTCGGCGGCGCGCCCGTGAAGAAAGGCATACGGAGGCGGGCCTTCGCAGAAGGCCCAGAAGGCTTTCGGCCTTCTCGGAAGCTCTCTACGGCCTCTCCGAAAGACACAGATGGCTTGCCAGAAGGCCGGATGGCGTCAGAGAAGCCCCGCCGCCTTTGAGAAGGTTGGCCCCTCTCACCTCCCCCCCTTGGCGCACCGCCGACCCTTTCCCCGCAGCCGAAGTGGGCCGCGCCTTCCGCCAGACTCTCCGCGCAGGCCATCCTGAGCTTCGCCAGCGCCAAGATGGAAGCGGTGGAGGCGCGCGCCGCGCGCGGTCCCCGGACGCGCGGGCGGAGGGGGGAGAGGAGGGGGCCGGAAGAGGGAGGGAGGGGGGGAGGATGAACCGTTCGTGCCGCGGGCTGCCTGCCGCGCGGCAGGCGTGCTCTGCGATTGCGGTGCCACGCTTTGGCCTTTGGCCGCTGCTTGAGCGCTTTGCCCGTGCGGCCCCTGTCAAAGGCAGCCACGGCGCAGTCGCGCGCGCGCCGATGCAGCCCGGAGTCCGAGGTCGACGCGGATTTCGCTGACCAGCTCCCGACCTGTGACGTGCTACCCCCGCCTTGGTCGAAGGCTCTGAGGGGGCACGCGCTTGCGACGGATCTTGCCCAGGTGTTGTTCGGTCTCATCGCCCTGTCAGGAGTGCTGCTGTCGATCTCGGTCCTGGGCCTGGTCACGGTTTGGTCTTTTCACCGTCTTCGCCTTTTCGGGTGCCTGTGGGGCTTCCTCCCGACCCTGGAGTAGGTATCCGGTTAGGTCCCATCGACGGCGAGCGGTAACGAGCGTGCTCTCCAAGTTCTTCGAGGTCTTATTGTTGGACTCGATGATGGCAGCATCGATGCGGCTGGCTTGGAGTTCTAGTACTGGCATCATGGAGTCCTGGCATGTTGCAGTGCTCGCTGTTGGAGGTGTCTCGTTCCCTTGCTCTTCGTAGCCTCGGTCCTCTACGGCATCGTCGTGTCGCTGGAGGTGGTTTCGGGAGCTTATCTGAGATATGCGTGTTGATAAAAAAAGAACAAGGGGGCGAGGAGGCGGGGGAGGGGGAGGGGGGAAGGGGAGGCGACCACCTCGTCACCCGGTTGCATCGAGCAGCGGGCCCAGAGGCCTGGCCAGCGCAGCCCACGCTGCAGTACAGCAGGTGCGGTCCTGTGGTGTCACGAGGCGATCCGCGTCCCTCGTGTGAAGGCGTTCGCGCTTGTGCAGGCAGAGTTGGCCGCCCGCCTGTGCAGCAAAGTGTTGCGAATCGCGCCCGTGCAGGCAACCGCAAAGACCCTGGCCGCCGTTGTCTGGACCTTGCGCGTGACCATTCCCTCACGGGCCTTGCAGCCGACTTGGGTAGACGGGCGGGTTTGGGCAGTGTTCATGGCCTGCGGGAGTGTGTCGTTCGTCGAGGCGGACGTATTGTGGACACGGGCAGCAGCAGTACGGAGGCCACCAGCATCCACAACCGCTCGCCAGCCAGCAGACCGAAGAGGTGCAGGAGGCGCGCGGCGCACTTGGGCGAGGCAGAGACGATGCACGAGCGACAGCGCGACCAGCTCTGGAGGAGAAACTCCGCCGCCAGTCCGCCACGAATCCGCATGCAGCGGCGGGCGTGTTGCGCCGGCTCATTGCAGGGCCCCGCCTGGGCCGACGCTCAGGTTGATGGCGTCGCTGGCGCTGCGGGTGGGCGCCGCGGCCAGCATCTTTCTCAACCAGGACCACCACTACGTGGCCTAACAGAATCGGGGGCGGCAGGAGTGCGAAGCCTGCCTCGCGCTACCACTGGTTTCGGCCGAGGGCCGCGTCCTAAAGGAGCTCTGGGCGCAGCGTTGCCCTCGCCGCAGAACCAGAGTCCACGGGCGATGCCCCAGGCGGGGAGCCATTAGCCCTGGGATGCCATGCTGTGTGTCTGGGAGGCGACCCTGCGTGCTCCTCGACGATGCCGAGAGTTTCTACTCGCAGGACCGCTGGGCGGCCTGATATTGGCGGCTACTGGGCGAGCCGGCGTGAGCGGCAAGGCGCGCCTGTTGCTGGAGCCCATGGAAGCACAGCGGCGGTGGTGGTGGTGGCAGGGTGCCACCGCTCGCGCAGGGTCTCTGCGCACGTCTGCACGCACTCGGGCTGGATGGATCCTGGGCCCGCCTGTGTACTGCCTCTGGTGTCGGGCCCCGTCGTCGGACTGTCAGAGTTGAGTCGTTTGCGGAGGCCTTTGGGAGCGTTCCGCGGGGCCCAGGATCACACCGTCCTTCCGCCTAGCTTTTTGCGCATTTGTCTCGCACTGCATGTTGTCCGGACACGCCAGATTCCCGAGGCCACGGCCTCGCCCACCCGGTCTTGAGTGGGCCCGGACGCTGCCCGCAATGGTGGTCGCACTGCATCGCACCAGGATCACACCGACGTTCAGACATTTGACGACGATGCGGTGGCCCGGTGGTTGATGCTTCATGTCGCAGGCACAGAGGCCTGGAGTGGCCAGGGCGTCGTTGAAGGTGGTCTGTGCGACGATCTGGGTGAGCTTCCCGGCGTTTGCATACGATGCCCGTGCGCCAGCATCTTTCCGAGGCTAGTGCGGCCAGCTGTCTGCAGCAGTGGAAGCAGCCGCGCGGATATGTCGCATGCGCCTGCGCGAGGCCTCATAGATACCAGGCCACACGGCCAAGTATTGGGAAGGCCTTACGGCCTACGCCGCCGACCCTGAAGGGGTACGACGACGACGACGACGACGACGACGACGACGACGACGACGACGACGGCGACGACGACGACGCTGATGCTCTGGAGCCCTTCTTGAGGCTCTCTTGGGACTTCATGGGAAGCTCCGTGGCCACTCGGAGCCGCTTCGGAGCGGATCTGAGGCCTCGTGGAGGCATGTCGGAAAACACGCAGTATTTGCTGCCCCCTTCGGTGCAAGTTCTTGGGAACAGCTCCAGACTGCACGCATGACCATCCTGGAAGAGCTGGTCTGGCAGTTGCGGGTGGCTGCCCACTACCAGAGCCTCGTTGGCATGCTACGGGCCCGCGTGACCTCGGCCCCTGGCAATGTGAGAAAATGATGAGAACTGAACCAACCCACCGCCCTCCTCCCCCACTGGGTTCCACAATGGGAATGACCACGGACAGAAATGCAGGGCTTGAAGCTTTGTTTTTGATGTTTTCCCTCCCCGCGACCGTCCTCCTCCGTGTTTTCTACACGGAGGATGAGGAGGAGGAGGCGACGGAGGAGGAGGAGGAGGAAGAGGAGGAGGAGAACAAGGGGGAGATAATGACGAACACGGAGGAGGAGGAGCAGCGGGAATCGCTTCAACGTCGCCTGCAGGGCGTTTGCAAGCGCTTGAGCGGCGCTTGAAAGGCAGCCGCAAACGTCTCGACGGCGCTTGCAGGGCGCCTGCAGGCGCTGAATGGCGCTTGCAAGATGTCTGCAAACGCTGGGTCAGCGCCTTCGAAGCGCTGGGTCAGCTCTGTCGATGCACTGGGTCAGCGCTTTCAAGCGCTTCCGAGGTGCTGGGGCAGCGATTTCGGGTTGTTGGGTCAGTCTGCGCTTTCGAAGCGCTCGGCCAGTGTTTTCGAAGTGCTTTCGGGACGCTTTGCTCCCATGGTCTCGTGTGCTTCCGTGGTTTCCTGTGCTCCCTTGGTCTCTTGTGTCCCCAGGGTCTCCTGTGCTCCCGTGGTCTCCTGTGCACCCCGTGGTCTCCTGGGCCCCCCGTGGTCGCCTGTGCCCCCCGGGGTCTTCTGGGCTCCCCGTGGTCTCCTGTGCTTCACGTGGTCGCCCGTGCCCCCCCGGTGGTCTCCTGTGCCCCCCGTGGTCTCCCGTGGCCTCGTGTCCCCCCCGTGGTGTCGTGTAAGCTCTCTCCTGTGCCTCCGTGGTCTCCTGCGCATCTGGTGGTCCTCGGGTGGGCGGAGGGCGTGTGCACGGTCGCGCCGAGAGCAGGGGAAGCAGCGGGCACGATGCCTGTTTCGTCCCCCGTGGCTTCCTATGAAGGACACACTCCGAACTCCGAATTCATCATCGGCCCAAGTTTACACTTCGGCGAAATCCTCCATGGCTTCCTATTAAGGACACACTCCGAACTCCGAATTCAACATCGGCCCAAGCCTACACGGCGAAATCCCCCATGGCTTCCTGTTAAGGACACACTCCGAACTCCGAATGCAACAGCGGCCCGAGTTTACACTTCGGCGACATGTCCGTCCCTATTCCGCATCACCCATCCATCTCAGTCTTTGTATCAACCTGGTCTTGGCATCGCTCGGACGTGTGCATTTTTCCTTCGGCGAGGACCATCAAGGAGCATCCTTGATCATTTGGCGAAAAAACCACGCACGAAACCGAAAAAAACACAGGGAATGGACGTCCGAGCGATGGCGAGCGAGCCGCCTCCAAATTTTGTCTCGCCAGTGCGTAGTGTGGCGGGGGCGGCCACCGCAAGGCGGCCGGCAAGCGGCTCGAGGAGGTGGTGCGGCCGTTGACGGCGCTGGAGGGGGAGGATGCCGGCGCGAGCCTTCCCGCTTTTTCCCCCCTTCCTCGTTTCTTCCTCCCCCTCTTCCCCCTGAAGTGGGATGAGGAAGGGTGTGGGTTGGGCGAGGGAGGAGGAGGAGGAGGAGAAGGAGGAGGAGGAGGAGGAGGAAGCGGAGGAGGAGGAGGAGGAGGAAGAGGAGGAGGACAAGGTAGGAAGAGGAGGTGGTTGAGGAGGAGGAGGTGGAGGAGGAGGAGGAGGTGGGAGGAGGAGGAGGAGGAGGTGAAGGAAGGAGGAGGAGGAGGAGGAGGTAGGAGGAGGAGAAGGAGGAGGAAGAAAAAGGAAGAGGAGGAGTGAGGAGAGAAGGAGGGAGGGGAGGAGGAAAGGAGTCATCATCGTCCCACCCGTCCTCCTCGATCAAGCCAGGATTGAGCTTCAGTTTGAACGGATGTTTGTCAGCCCTCCCCTCATCCTCCTTCTTCTTCTTCTTCTTTTCCTCCTTCTCCTTCCTCTTCCTTCCTCCTTCATCCTCCCCTCGTCTTCCTCGGTACCTGATACATCCTCCTCCACCTTCTCCTCCTCCTCCATCCTCCCCTCTTCTTCTTCTTCTTCTTCTTCGGTACCTGATCCATCCTCCTCCTTCTACTCTTCACTCCCCCTCATGTTTGTTTCCCCTGGCATTCCTTCTCCTTCCTCCTCGGTGGTTGTTGACGGACGTATTCAGCATGCCAGCTTGTGCAGGCCCACCACGGGCTCAGGCACCCTCAGGCCTAGAGAGGTCCGAATTGGGGCGTTTGAGTTTGATCAGGCGCTCTCTCGGTTATTGCGGATGCCACGAGTTATCATCCTCTCTCTCTTCCTCATTCCCACCTTCCCTGTTCATTGACGTGGGCCTCCCTCCTTCCTCCCCTTCTCCTCTTCATCCTCCTCCCCCTCCCCCTCCCTGGCTCCCTGCTCCCTCCTTCCCCCTCCCTTTCCATCAGTCGCGCAGGGGAGTGGTGCTCCGCGTTGGGCGCTTCGTGCTGAGTGCGGTCATCACGAGCCTGCCTTCATCCTATGTCGCCTCCTCCTCCTCCTCCTCCTCCTCCTCCTCATCAGCATCATCATCATCATCATGATCATCACTATCTTCATCCTCATCCTTAACCTCAACCTCAACCTCAAGTTCATCCTCCGTCCCTCCCGCCCCCTCCTGTCGCCTTATCCTTCGGAGGCCAACTGCCACTCGCTCCCTTTGACGGCAGTGCATTGACAGATCAGTTCCAGCTCCTGCAAGCTGAAGCAGGCAGTCTAGGTCCATTGGTATTCATGCCGACAGTTTCTGCAAGCTATGGTTTGATGTTTTTGGAGGTATCTGAAGGGGAGAGGGGGGGATGAGGCGAGGAATGAGCAGTGGAGGGGGATGGGGAGAGAGGAAGAGAGTGAATGTAGGAGGATAGAAGGGAGGGAGGGATGAAAGAAGGTTGGACGAAGGGGGGAGAGGGCCGGGCGGTGCGAGGGAAGGGGACGGAGAACGGAGAGAGGCCAGACAGTTCCGCCCAAGCCCGGCCACATCTGCGCGTATGTCGTCTAACTTCGCACTCCGTCAAGGTCTCCAGAGCCTAGAGATCTGGCGTGTAGGGCTTGGGGCACTCTTGCTATTGCGAAGGCCTGACGGCCGTTGCCGCCGACTCTGAAGGCGGGCGCTCCCCCCTGGATCCCGGGGTCCCCTCCTCGGGGCCGGGGCCAGGGCCAGGGCCGCGGGCTTGCCCCCCCACAGGGGGAACCGTTCCCTGTCCCCCCCCCCCCGTCCACAGGTGGGACCACACCAGGACTCGCTGGGGACCCACAGGGCTCGGGGCATTCTTGTTGTTTCGTCTTCTCCTCGGGAGGCCCCCGTGGAACTCCAGAGACCTTCGTGCCAGAGTGCTGGACAGCGGGCCTTCCGTTTCCTGATGCCGCCTTTGCTCCTTCTGGTTTTTCTGTTCTGTCACCGTTTGGCGACAGCATCTCTCCAATGTGTTCTCCTTCCCCACCCAGCCCGCCAGCAAGTCCTGGCTCATGTGGCCAGGGGAAAGGGGGCGCAGCGGGCTGGTCTGGCCCACGTGATGATTGATTGCCGCACAGTGCACAACAGCCCAGGGTGGGTGCCAGCAGAGGGCGGACATGCGGGCAGGTGTTCTGATCTTGCTGGCCTGTGCATTGATTACGTCGGCACGCGCGCGCAACTCGGGGGGGGGCCAAACGCTGCGGTGACCACACCGTGTGGTGAGTCAGTGTGGGTTCGGGGTGACTTGGGTCGTTCTCTGGGGATATCTCGGGCGAATGGGGCGTCCGAGTTCCCAAAACCGTGCGTCGACGGACCGCGCGTTGAGGTCTCCAGGGACTTCGAGGTCGCCGCACGGCCGGCACTGCGCCGTTTTGGGGCCCCCGAGCAGCAGCATCCTTTCCGTTCGCATCCAGCCCTGACCAGGCAGGCCAGGGGAGGGGGGGCGCTCCCCGTGGCTCCGCGCGGCGGTTTTGCGCGGTGACTGCCGCTGCCCAGGAGCTCGAGGCGTTCGGCACGCCAGCCTCGACCTTGGCGGAGGCGCGGCCTCGCCCTCCGCCCCTCCCTCCCTCCCTCCGCGCTTGCTTCCCTCCCCTCCCCCCCTCCCCACCTCCCTCCACCCCTCCCACGTCCTCCCCACGCCTCCCCTCCCGGCCTGCCTCCCCATCGACCCCCCCTCCCCATCCTCTTCCTGGCTTCTCCCTGTCCTTCCGGGTCCCCCCGCTTGGCTGGTCCATCATGCGATCGCGCATCAATATTGAAATGGCCTTTCTTCGGCACATGTTCGCTTTGCTTCCCACTGCGTCGTAGCATCACGCTGTGTCTCTAGACGTAGTTGCTAGATACACGTTTTCCAAACTGATTTTGCACATAGCACGTGTTGCCACCATCGTTTTCATCAACCGTCAGCTTTGGAGCAAAGCAATTATGTGGACGGGGTTGCTGAGTTTGCAGGGGCGCCAGATCAGAAGCACGCCGATTGAGTGGCACACGTATTACTCACGGATGCCATTGCGTCCGCACGGCGATGAGGTGTTCAATGATCCACGCTACCCTCCGCTTCGCACTTGCATTATCTTTCGAACTCGTCTTGTCTCGTTTCCCACACCTGTGTAACTTTCTCCTGTCGCTACCCCCATGCCAATGATCCGATGATGCTGTGGATTTGAATCGCCCCGGTCTTTCGATATCCGCTTTGATTCTGCTGAGAAATAGACGATCAACTAATGTCGTGCGGTCGCACTCTCAAACGCACATCAATAAAAGTACTAGCCAGCGTGGGCCCAACGCCGTAGGCTAGTAGGCCATTTTACCCCGATGTGTAATATATAGGGTGCCATCCGCGCATGGTCCAACCCATACGATGCAACAAGCGCGGGTGGAATCAATGGTTCGCAATCTACCTTGTAGAACATGAAGCCGTCTCCTCCAATGCCCTCGCAAACGTCCCACCCTCCCACCCACAAGTGGTTTGGCGAAACCCGTGCGGCCTCGAGTACGGTTACTTGTTGGCACTTGCTAGCGCAGTTGTGCGGCCGTGTTGGCGCGGACACGCTCGCGCGCAGAGCGACCAGCTGGTTTCGCACAACTGCTGCGACCGCGATGGCGATTACTGATATGGAAAATTCCAGCGCGTCTCAAAGGCCACGCTGGCGCGTGGGCAGGTCAGTGCGGATCGGTTATTCGGGCGGGCGAGATATCATGATGACGTCGGCAACGGCGGCAACGACAATGGTGCTAGCGATGATGAAGGCGATGATGACGATGATGGCGACTAGCGCAATAGCGGTGCTGATGCTGGTGGCGAAGACGGCAGTGATGATGTCCATTTGCCAGTATTGAAGGTGATTGTGCGGATGTGGCTGGCAAAAGCGGCAATTGACGATGACGAGAACGGTAGTATGCAATGGCGCTGATGAGGGTGATGGCGAAGTGCGCCCGGGAAGATTCACGACAAATTACTGGCTGATTGTTGAAAAGCATGCGTGTGCTTACATATGCGCTTGAAGGGCCCTACCTTGAAATGTGTCGAACACCAAAAGTTTGGACGGATTTCGACGCACGCGCGGCCACGCGCGCTTGCGGCCCGAGTGCTATTATTTGATACGGGTTTGTGTATTGGGCGCATACTACATCAACGCGGGTGCACCGCCTGGTGAGCGGGTTATGGGCGATATTGGTTTCATGTTACGGTTTTTCACTGCAGCAAATGCATTCGGCCAGAACCTTGCAGGACCTCTTGGTGAAAACCGTTGGGTTCAAAACGCGCTGCGGTTGACATGTTGTACAGCCCACAGTGTTTTCAACAGTCTGACATGCTCGTGCAACGGCGCGCGCATGTGCCCACGTTGTGGTTCGTTCACTCGGGTGATCCCACAACACGTTTTTTCTTTATCGACGCATGTACACCGCATGCTTATTTTGCAGGGGGTGGCGGGGGGGGGAGTGTGCTCGATTCCGCCTGTCTGAGGATGGTGATGTTCACCATGAGCGATCGCGCAGCAGAGGTATGGGAAAGCTCGGCCCCGACGGGGGGCTCGAATCTGATTCGTTTTAGAAACATTACCAGCCTGGAACATATCCCTATCCCTATGCTGAGCACCTCCTCATTACGATGCCAATCTTAGGGATTCTTTTATTTTTTGAGGGCGAATCCCTAAGATTGTCATCGCCTTTTGGCGTGTCAATCTTAGGGATAGGGATACGTTCGAGGCTGTGAAAAAACAGGACGAACGAGTCGCCCGCGATGCGTCCACGGGCGCCCACCAGTCCAAGACCGACCGCTCCAGCCGACGCACGAGGCGCCCATTGGCGCCCACCTGTGGGAAATATCCAGCCGCGATGGCCAGCGCATGAGGCGCGGACGCCCACAGGCCAGAAGTCCGGCCGCGCCAGCAGTTGTTTGAAAGGCAGGGGAGACCCCCCGAGCAAGCACCGGCTGGGCAACTGCCAGTGGTAACGGGGGAAACATTTAAAACAAAAAAACTTCCCTCCTCCCCCGTGGGGGCCCAAAATCAACGAGTGGGGCAGACTACTAGAATTCAGCCGCTGGAGGATTATGTTTGATCGTCTGCCCCCCTGGCATTTTTCTGCCGTCGCGCGGGAATGTGTGTTCTACCCGTGCGCTCGCTTGATGACCCGCGGCGGCGGGGGTGAGGATTCCGGAGAAAGGAAGGATAGGGGGTAAGTAAGGAGGGCGCTGTCGAATTTTTCCTTCCCGCGCAGGGCTGGCCGCAGGCAGCCCCGCAGCTTCGAATTGTCCGCCCCTGCGGCTTCGAATTGTCAGCCAACGGGGTCCTTCCCAGACAGCCAGAGATTGTCCGCCCTCCGTCGGTCAGGCTGCTTTGGCTTGTCAGGCTCGGAATTGTCCCTCCCCGCCCTGAACGGTGGATTCGAGTTTTTGCTTTCCACGCAGGGCTGGCCGCAGGTAGCCCCGCGGCCTCGAATTGTCCGTCCTTGCGGCTTCGAATTGTCGGCCCTCGGGGTCATTCCCAGACAGTCGGAGATTATCCGCCCTCCGTCGGTCGGGCTGCTTTGGCCTGCCAGGCTCGGAATTGCCCCCCGCCCCCCGCGCCCTGAATTGTCAGCCCGTGCCCCCCCCACCCCCCTTGGCCTCCAGACAACCCTGGTTGTCCACCCTCCGTCTGCCTGCCCGCCCCCCGCTACTGCGGGGCACGAAGGCCAGCGAAATTATCTGTAAGGTCTTCGCCCCCATGCCGCCGACCCGCCTCTCTTAGAATGGGACTTGCCAGAGCTGTGTTGCGATGCCTGGACACTGACGCGAAGCAATGTCGGGACTTCCACGCGAGGGCCAAGATTCATGTTCGAGGGCTTCTGGCTTCAGTGGCGCGAGCGCGATGTAGTTTACGATGGTTAATGGTTTCGGGGACGCGAACGCTGTGGAATGTACAATGGCTATTGGCCTCGGGGACGCAGAGATGGCGTAATTTCCAAAGGGTTGATGGTTTCGGGGGCGCGATCATGGTCTGATTTGCACCGCGTGTGTGGCATCGGGGGCGCAAGCACGGTGTAATCCACGAAGGTTTATGGCCCTGGCGGCGCGAATCTCGTATAAATTCAAAAGGTTTGATGGCTTCGGGGGCACGAAACAGTTGTAATTTACGAAGGTCTCTGGTTTCGGGGGCGGGAGTATTGAGTAATGTATACAGATCGTATGGTTTCGGGGACGCGAGCATGGTGTATTTTTCAAGGGATGATGACTTCGGGGACGCGACTATGGAGTTTTACAATCTTGCATGCTTCGGGGACGCGAGCATGGTGCAACTTACAAGGATTCTAGCCTCGGGGGCCCGAATATACTGTATTTCTACATGTCCCACAACCCCCCAGGAATTCAGACACCGCGATTCGGTGTTCGGCTCCCTCCCCCCTCGCGTGTTCAGCAGAAATTCACAGTAAGGAAGCAGAAAGCAGGACTGTAACAGTGGAAACTGGAAACTGCAACAGGCACGGGGAGCTGCAAGCCTATTCTTCGCAGCGTGATGGCCCCGCCAAGGGGCCGGCGGATTCGTCAGCCATGTTGTGGTATTGTGTCCCCGTTTTGCAGACACAGCGCCCCGCGTCCCTCACTCTTCCTCGCCTGCCCCCATCCACCGCCCGCGCGCGTAACCCACACCCATCTCGGCACACCCCTATCACGTTTCGTGTCCCGACAAGTAGTTCCACCGAATGCCTCATTGTCACCGCCCGCGTGCACCTATTTCGGCACACGCCTCACACGCTTCGTGGCCCCATAAAGAGCTCCACCGAAGGCTCCAATGCCACCCCCCGCATGCGTCACCCACACAGATTTCAACACACCACTCGCACTTTGTGGCCCCGTCGAGAGCTCCACCGAAGGCGCCACTGCCACCGCCCGCATGCGTCACCCACATTCATTTCGGTACACCCCTCACACGCTTCGTGGCCCCGTCGAGAGTTCCACCGAAAGCCCCTGTGCCACCTCCCGCATGCGTCTCCCACACTCATGTCGGCACTCCCCTCACGCGCTTCGTGGCCCCATAACGAGCTCCACCGAAAGCGCCAGTGCCACCGCCCGCATGCGTCACCCACGCCCATTTTGTCACACCACTCACACGCTTCGTAGCCCCATAGGGAACTCCAACGAAGGCCCTGGTGCCACCGCCCATGTCGGCACATCCCTCACGATGATCGTGGCCCCATAGGGAGCTCCACCGACGGCCCCAATGCCACCGCCCGCATGCGTCACCCACACCCATCTCGGCACACCCATCACACGCTTCGTGGTCCCGTAGGGAACTCCACGGACGGCCCCTGTGCCACCGCTCTCACACGATTCGTGGCCCCATGAAGAGCTCCACCGACGGCCCCAATGCCACCGCGCGCATGCGTCACCCACACCCATTTCGTCACCCACACACCACACACACGTTTCGTGGCCCCATAGGGAGCTCCAAGGAAGGCCCCAGTGCCACTGCCCGCATGCGTCACCCACACAGATTTCGGCACACAATTTACACGCTTCGTGGTCCCGTAGGGAGCTCCACCGACGGCGCCAGTGCCACCGCCCGCATGCGTCACCCACACAGTTTTCGGCACACCACTCACACGCTTCGTAGCCCCATAGGGAGCTCCACCGAAGGCCCCAGTGCCACCGCCCGCATGCGTCACCCACGCACATTCCGCCACATCCCTGACGCGTTTCGTGGCCCCATCCAAAAAATGCACCGAAGGCGCCGGTGGGTGCGTTCGCATGCGCCCACCGCACCCATGTCGGCACACCCATCACACGATTCGCGGCACCATAGGGAGCTCCACCGGCGGCCCCAGTGGCGGCGTTCGCATGCGCCCACCGCACCTATTCCGGAACACCCATCACACGCTTCGTGGCCCCATAGGGAGCTCCACCGACGGCCCAAGTGACTGCTTTCGCATGCGCCCACCGCACCCGTATCGGCATACCGATCACACGCTTCGTGGCTCTATAGGGAGCTCCTTCGAATGCGGTGCATACAACGACGGTGCTCACAACTGCATATGCTTGATTCTTTTGTTAGGCTAATGTTTAAACCGCTTGCTCCCATTCGTTTCATCGTGGTCTTGGATTTGCCTCGCTGGATAGTCGATCCCCCCAAACTGCCTTTTAGATGGTGGGAGACGGGTACTTGTGGGCCCACAGCTAAAAGAACATTGGGATGGGCATGCTGGGGTAGCGCAATGCAAATCCATATCAGCTGTCCTATAGCGTTGCAGCTCGGCGCAGCACATTTTTCCCAACCATCCTGTGGTGTTGGGTCCTCGTTTTGAAGAGACGGTGCCCCGCGTCTCCTTCCTCCTCCTCTCCTCCTCCGCCTCCTCTCCCCTCCTATCATCCTCATCGTCATCATCATCATCATCATCATCATCATCATCATCGTCATCATCATTATCATCATCATCATCATCATCATCATCGTCATCAGCATCAACATCATGGCCGCCATCATAACCATCATCGTCATCATCACCATCATCGTCGTCATCACCATCATCGTTGTCCTCGTCGCCATCATCGCACGTTTCGTGGCCCCATACGGAGCTCCACCGAAGGTCCCAGTGGGTGTGCCCGCATGCGTCCCGCACGCCCATTTTGGCACACCCCTCACACGTTTCGTGGCCCCATAGGGAGCTCCATTTACGGTCCAAGTGGCGCAGCTCGCATGGCGCCACCGCCCCATTTTGGCACACCCCTCACACGTTTCGTGGCCCCTCAGGGAGCTCCACCTGAGGTCCAAGTGGCGCAGCTCGCATGGCGCCACCGCCCCATTTTGGCACACCCCTCACAGATTTCGTGGCCCCTCAGGGAGCTCCTTTTGGCACACCCCTCACACGTTTCGTGGCCCCATAGGGAGCTCCACCTAAGGTCCACGTGGCGCAGCTCGCATGGCGCCACCGTCCCTTTTTGGCACACCCCTCACACGTTTCGTGGCCCCATAGGGAGCTCCATTTACGGTCCAAGTGGCGCAGCTCGCATGGCGCCACCGCCCCATTTTGGCACACCCCTCACAGATTTCGTGGCCCCTCAGGGAGCTCCACCTGAGGTCCAAGTGGCGCAGGCTCACCCGCGTTCATTCTTTCGTAATCTGACCTATCGTATTCCTTTGCGTTGTGTACCCCGCCGTATTTCGGCATACCCTTCATGCGATTCGTGGCCCCATAGGCAGCGCCACCGAAGAAGGTACTCACAATTGCGGCACTCACAACTGCATATGGTTGGGTCTTTCGCCAGGATAATTTCTTGTTTTTGCCATTCAGCTTGCACCAAGTTCTTCATGCTCGTGATGTGTTCTCTGAGTGATTGTGGTTCCCAATCACGTTCCCCCCTTTGATTTCCCCTTATTCTTCCGCTCCTCCTCTTCCTCATGTATATCTTTCCTCTCCGGCCTCCTCCCCCTCCGCGTCGCCTCGTTAATTATCCTGTCTGTTCTTCTCATCCTGTTGTCTATATCCCCTCCTTTCTGCAGGCGAAGACAGTGCAGACGTCTGCGGCCGAGATCATCAGGGAGGCCCGAGATTCTCTGAAGGAGAAGCTGGACGTACTCGGCAAAGTACCTTGCCCGCGCGATCTGATTGTTTGATGAAGGAGTCAGGGCTTCAGCGCTTCAGCGCTCCGGACTACGCCGCAGGCGTCTGTCCGCGCTCTTGGGGGCAAGGGGGCCGCTGTCCAGCCTTTGGGCCCGCAGCAGGCGATCCGCGGCGAAACGCCCTGGGGCAGGGTCGACAGCTCGACAGAGGAAGTTCGCGACGTCGGAGGTCTGCGTGTAGGACACGGGCCCGGGGTCCCTCCGGGGCCGTCCGAAGAGGCTGCGCCCCCTCTGCCTTACCCGCTGGGCGCGCCGCCGCTACTCCTCCTCCTCCTCCTCCTCCTCCTCCTCCTCCTCCTCCTCCTCCTCCTCCTCCTCCTCCTCCTCCTCCTCCTCCTCCTCCTCCCCCTCCTCCTCCCCTCCCTCCTCTCCTCCTCCTCCTCCTCCTTCTCCTCGTCCTCCTCCTCCCTTCTCCCTCCTCCTCCTCCTCCTTCTCCTCCTCCTCCTCCTCCTCCTCCTCTTCCTCCTCCTCCTCCTCCTCCTCCCCCTCCTCCCCCTCCTCCCCCTCTTGCCCCGGGATTCTCTCTCTCTTTGTTCTCCCTCCTCCTCCACCATCTGCCTCCGCTGGCCCCCCTTTCCCCCTCGCGCCCTGCCCTTACCGGTGTTGCCACGCTCCGGGTGGCACTGCGATATGCTTCTTCGCCCAAGCGGGGCAGTACAATCAAGACGCTGAACTAAGGAACAGTTTGGGCTCGATGTTCCTTGGGTTCCTCCAGTGCTGTTCCTCTTGCCCTCCTGGGGCACGGAGGCGGTCACAGGGCCAAGAAGGGGCGTTGTTGCTTGTTTAGCGTTTCTGTTTTCATCGGCCCGACTGTAGTCCTGGTGGGGATTGGCCGAGCGAGAAGACTGAGCTTTGAGGCAGGACGTGAGGAGGAGGACGGGCTCCAGGAGGAGGGAGGAGGGAGGCCCGGGGAGGAAGCAGCAGGCTTCGCCAATCGAGGGCAGATGATGCTTGTGCTCGTCCTGCTACACTAGCTTCTCTTCGTCCCCCGAGGCAGTTGTGGTTCCAACCCCTCAAACGTAGCTTTGACGTGGCCCGTTCTCTGACGTCGACAGCACTCCTGGACGCCTGGGTGCTGTCGTTGCTGAGCGCGCCGGACTACGCGGCTGCCACGGCTGCTCAGATAACGCTTCTTCGGGCGCCCACTGATGCCCGTCTTGCTGCCGCCGCTGTGCCTTGCTTCCTGGCCCCCGAATTTGTTCCCAACCATCCTGTGGTGTTGGGTCCTCGTTTTGAAAAGACGGTCCCCGCGTCCTCCTCATACTGCCCCCTTCCTCCTCCCCCCCTCCTTCCTCTTGCCCCTCCTCCTTCCTCCTTGCGTTTCACCCACCCAGCACAGCGCTTCGTGGCCCCATCGGGAACTCCACCGAAGTCCCCAGTAGCAAGGTTCGCATGGCGGCCTCGGGCCGTTTCGGCACACCCCTCACGAGGATCGTGTCCCCATAGGAGCTCCACCGAATGCCCCAGTGGCAGCGTTCGCATGGCGGCCTCGGGCCACTTCGGCACACCCCTCACGAGGACCGTGGCCCCATAAGGAGGTCCACCGAAGGCGCCAGTGGCAGCGTTCGCATGGCGGCCTCGGGCCATCGGCACACCCCTTACGACGATCGTGGCCCCATGGGAAACTCCACCGAAGGCCCCAGTGGCAAGGATCGCATGGCGGCCTCGGGCCATTTCGGCACACCTCGCACAAGGATCGTGGCCCCATAGGGATCTCCACCGAAGGCGCCAGTGGCAGCGTTCGCATGGCGGCTTCGGGCCACTTCGGCACACCCCTCACAAGGGTCGTGGCCCCATAGTTGTGTTGCTTCAACAACCGCGACTGGGCGTCGTACCTCGCCTTGTTGACGTGCAGCACCACCTCCCTCATGGCTCTCAGAGCCCTGTCCTGCTTCTGCTCCTCCGTCAGAGGGACGCCGTCCTCGTCGGTTACGCCCACGAAGACGGCCATGAATGTGTCTCTGAGCATGTCGGGCTCCAGCGGGAAGGCGTGGCCACATAGGGAGCGCGGGCAAAGATGGTATTCACAATTGCGGCATTCACAACTTCATATGTATGGGTCCTTCGCCAGGCTAATGTTACTGTTCGCTGTACTTTTCTTGCTTCTTGGTGCCCGCGCAGAACTTGCTCTTTGAATTAAGTCGTCTTTTACTGACAGGCTTTCGGCTGCATCAGCGATGCAATCCAAGAAATTCCTCCCTTGTGATCAAAAACTGTCGGATCACTGGGAGGACGACTTCCTCGTCTCCGTGCACTTTTGTCTGGGCTCCGGCCCGCCCGCGCTGACTTCGGGTGTCAAAAACGGCGGGTGCCTGCGACCACCGTGTTTTGCAGGGTGATGCCATGATGGAGGTGGGCCCACAGACGTGATTAAGGCGCCCCGAGCTGTATCACCACTTCAGGTGCCTCCCTCCTTCCCTTCTTCCCATTTCATCTTCATCCTGACTCTTCCACCCCCCACCCCAGACCTCCGATGATAACTTGCATGTGTCGATGCACGATCCCTGGGGCTCTCGACTTCCCCAGGGGCGGTATTTAATCCTGGGTGTTTTCCGCCGGTTTTGTGGGCCTGCGCCCCCCCCGAGAAGCTGAAATTTGATGAATTAGCTTGGCGAAGGACCCAACCATATGCAGTTGTGAATACCGCAATTGTGAATACCATCTTCGCCCGCGCTCCCTACGTGGCCACGAACCGTGCGAGGGGCGTGCCGACACGCTTGGCGGGGTGCAGAAAGCGAGCGACGACGATAGGATTGTGTATGCGAGAGAGAAAGAGAGAGACAGAGAGACAGAGAGAGAGACTGAGAGCGGGTGAGGCTGAGCGCGATGAGTCTGATTGCCTGCGCGCGCGTGAGTCTACGTGCATGAATGTCGACGCCCATGTCGGCACGCCCCTCACAAGGGTCACGCCCGCCTTCTTCCCGTTATTTTCTCCCTCTTTTCCCGTGCGCGCCAATGTCCAAGGCTGCGGGTGCGGCGCCGCAGCACGGAGTCCCCGCGACGCACGTTGGTCGCCCCCCGAGGGGGTCCTGGCGACGCGTGCGGGTCCGTTGCGCGGAGTGGCGGGCAATTCTCTGGCCGCTGGGCAGACCGACGGCGGGGGCGAGCGAGGCGCTGGGCAAAACGCAGCGTGGAGTTCCCGCGGCGCGCGCTGGTCGCCCCGAAAGGGTCCCAGCGACGCGCGCGGGTCGTTTGCGGCGCAAGGCCAAACACTCAGGCCGTCGAGAGACGGCAAGGTTCGGGCGGGCCTCTCTTCAGGTCAGGCCTCGCGGATAAACCCAGTGAAGCCCAGTTCCCTGGCGAGGGCCGTCGCCTCCCTCCGGCACCGCTTCGTGCGCGCCGCAAGCTGCTCCAGCTGCTTCCGCAAGCCCCCCGGCGGCCCTGCCAAGAAGAGCTCGATGCGCGGCGCCCGCATGAGCAGGAGGTCCTCGCGGCGCGTGGCGGGCGAGAGCAGTGCGTAGAGCTCCAGCCACCAGTCGTCGTCCTTCTTGCCATTCCCAATCTCGTGGCGGCCGCAGTCCAGGATCACGATTGGGCGATGTCGGCCAAGGGAGCAGCGGCCTGGGGCATGTGGTGGAGCTTCCTATGGGGCCACGGTCCTCGTGAGGGGTGTTCCGGAATGGCCCGAGGCCGCCATGCGAACCCTTCCACGGGAACCTTCGGTGGGGTTCATACGTGGCCACGATCTTCGTGAGGGGTGTGCCGACATGGCCCGAGGCCGCCGAGCCTTGCCAGATTTGCCGTCGGTGGAGCTTGTGGCGCCACGATCCTCGAAAACGGGTGTGCCGAAATGGCCCGAGGCCGGCATGCGAACCCTGCCGCTGGCGCCTTCTGTGGATTTCCTCATGGGCCCACGATCCTCGTGAGGGGTGTGCCGAAATGGCCCGAGGCCGCCATGCAAACCCTGCCACGGGGGCCTTCGGTGGAGCTCCCATGGGGCCACGATCCTCGTGAGGGGTGTGCCGAAGTGGCCCGAAATCCGGCAGGCGAACCTCGACAATGGCGCCTTCGGTGGGGCTCCTATGGGGTCACGATCCTCGTGAAGGGTGTACCGAAACGGCTTGAAATCGCCACGCGAGCCCTGCCAATGGCGTTTTCGGTGGAGATCCCATGGGGCCACGATTTTCGTGAGTGGTGTGCCGGAATGCCGGCATGGCCCGAGGCCGCCATGCGAACCTTGCCACTGGGGCCTTCGGTGGAGTTTCCCATGGGGCCACGATCGTCGTGAGGGGTGTGCCGAAATGGCCCTGGGCCGCCATGCGAACCCTGCCATTGGGGCCTTCGGTGGAGCTCTCATGGGGCACGACCCTCGTGAAGGGTGTGCCGGAATGGCCCGAGGCCGCCATGCGAACCCTGCCACCGGCGCCTTCTGTGGATTTCCTCATGGGCCCACGATCCTCGTGAGGGGTGTGCCGACATGGCCCGAGGCCCCCCTGCGAACCCTGCCATTGGCGCCTTCGGTGGACCTCCTATTGCGCCACGATCCTCGTGAGGGGTGCCGAAATGGCCCGAGGCCGCCATGCGAACCCTGCCACTGGCTTCGGTGGAGCTTTCATGGGGCCACGATCCTCGTGAGGAGTGTGCCGAAATGGCCCGAGGCCGCCATGCGATCCCTGCCATTGGGGCCTTCGGTGGAGCTCTCATGGGGCCCCGATCCTCGTGAGGGGTGTGCCGAAATGGCCCGAGGCCGCCATGCGAACCTTGCCACTGGGGCTTTCGGTGGAGGTCACATGGGGTCACGAAGCGCTGTGCTGCCTATGGGGTCCCCGTGGAGCTCCCTTGGGGTCACCACAGGAGGGGAGGAGGAGGAAGAAAAGGAGAGGAACGCGGGGCGCTGTCTCTGCAAAACGAGCACCGAACACCGTAGGATGGTTGGGAGAAACATGATGGAGGTTCCCAAAACGTCTCTGGAAGGAAGTGTAGGCTTCGTAGGGCCGGGGGTCTCAGGTCTCGACAGGCCCTTGGCCTTTGGAGGCCCAAACAGTGCCAAGATCGCTCAAAGTCAGGAGGGAAAAGAACACACAGACACAATTAATCGTCGACTCCAAGGAAAATATGGGAAAGTATGGGAATTTGGTGGGAAGACAAAAACCAAGAAAATATAAAAAAAGGGAATCATTTTATTTCTGTGCATTTATTTGTGTGTCCTTGGGCCCCTTGACAATGGCTTCGATGGTCGACCCTCGAACCCTCCCCGTCATCCCTGCATGCTAACTTTCTTTCACCTGCCCGCCCGCCTGCCTCGTCTTGTAAAAGTCCTTGGCCTCCCACCAGCTGGCTTGTCATCATCGCCGTCGCTGTCTGCTTGCATCTCCTTCCCTCTCTCCCTCCCCCCTCGTCGGACAAACGCAGACCGCGCAAGCCAGCGGCACGGCGCGATTTCCAGGCCCTCGCGCATGTCCTAGAGGCTTCCAGAGGCCCAGAGAGGGCAGATTACTAACAAAAGCTGCGATCCTCGACCCTCGAACCATGTAGTTTTGAGGAGCCTTGGAACCTCTATCATCTGCCTCCAACCTCGTTGACGAACCTCTCGAGACTCGCCGCCCAAGGCCGCCGGCGACGACGACGACGCCCGCGAAGGCCGCCGACACGACAACGCCGACTACAACGACCACGACAACGACGACGACGACGAAGACGGCGACGAAGACGACGACGAAGACGACGACGACGACGACGACGACGACGACGACGACGGCGACGAAGACCACGACCACGGCCGCAGCGTCGCCGACGCCGTCCCTCGAGCCTCGACCCCCGCAGGTCGTCAAGGGCCCGCTGCACGAGGCCCCATCGCGGGGGAGGTTCGGCCAGCAGGGGGGAGGCAGGAGCGCCTCCTCCTCCTCCTCCTCCTCCTCCTCCTCCTCCTCCTCCTCCTCCTCCTCCCTCCTGGGATGGGGTAGTGCTTCGCCCCGGGCCCTTTTCTGGTGGCACCCTGTGGGGCCCAGCGGGCCCCAGGCGACCACTTCCCGGGGAGAGGGGGGGGGGGAGGGCGGGAGGGCAGGGGCAAGACTGCGAAGGGGGGGCCGGCAGGCAGGAGGGGAGAGGGAGCAAGACAGGGGAGAGAGAGCGAAGCGTCGCAGAGGGAGGGGGAGGAGGACGAGGCAGCATGCACGAGCGAGAGGTTGTCATGAGTTGTGGGACGACGTCGACAACGACGGCCTCGACAGGAGGGGCTAATATCAAATGTGTTGCACCCCTGGCCACGCCCACCAGCGCCTCCAAAGTAAGTTTCCAAACTGAGCGGGTTTGTGCGTGTGTGTTTGCGTGTGTGTTATGTGGAAGCTGTGGGCCCGATCATGGACGGTTGCTGCACAGAGCTCCCTGAATATCGCATAATCCGGATTGCATCGATTGCGACTGCAGAGCATTGCCTTCCAGAGGCACCCCGAACCATGTTTTATGTTTCCGTTTCCCAGATGTTTTACACGCTTGAGAACTTTTCTAGAGCGCAGCAGCCAGGCTGGCCGCCAACTCTGGTAAACCAATCGCTTGTGTGCCAAGTGTGATGTGATGAATCACCATTGGCTTTGACTGAGTTTGGTACGCCAGGAACTTACGCCAGTATTACACAGTCTGTCGGGTTAAGCAGTTTCGATTGCTGCCGCTGACAGCGCGGCGAACTTACAGAGACTAGCGAGAGGGCGGATGGGCATGAGAAAGAGAAGCCAACTGAGCAAATGGAACAGGGGAAGACGAGCAGACGGGATGTTGTGAGAATGTGTGTTGGCGTTCGGTGGCATCCGGGAAGATATGACGGAGTACTGATTTGTGAGGAGTGCTCGCGAAAGCAACGGCGTAAAGCTAACAGGAATGAGTGCTTACCGAGTGTGCGTGCGGATGGGGGTTGTGAGTTGTTTCTGTCGCTTAGGGCGTATAGAGAAGTTTGTAGTGGGCGTGGCGTGGGCTAATATGGGAGTGGCTGAGTGGGTTTTCACTGGAAAGACCCCTGCTTAACGAACGACATGGACACCCCACCCCTCTCCGAAACAATAACACGCCGACGCGGTCCAGGCCAACATCCGATAAGTGTTCAGCCCGAAAAGGAGGATATGGATGGGGGGGCAGCGGTTCAAGATACGAGCAGTACGAGGCAGTGGTGCGGGAGGGTGAGTAGGGCGAGGAGGTGACAGCGATGACATGGAGAGGGGGAGGACCAGGAAAGCCGAACCAGCGGATCCGAACAGGATACCTCAAGGTTCACACTATCCAAGCACACGCAAGGATACATAACGCAACCACGTTGGCAATCAGTACAACTACTCAGCCTTCTCCATCTCCTCCCTCTCCTGCGCTCCTGCTCTTTCTTCTCGTCCTCCTTGGGCGCCGTCGTCGTCGACCTCTTCTGACTCCCTCCCTCGCTCCTCTTCGCTCCTCCTCTCCCTCCCTCCTCCTCCTTCTTCGCGTCCTCCTTGTCCTTCCTTTCGTCCTCCTTCCCCTCCCCAGCACCCTTCGTCTCCCCTGCCTCCTCCACGAACAGTCTCCCCATTCCGTCCGAGTGGACCGGCCGAGCAGCGTGTACAGGCGGTGGGGGGCGGAGCGGCGTCCCTCCCTGAGGTTGATGAGGAGGGAGGAGAATCAGGAGGAGGAGGAGGAGGAGGAGGTAGTAGAGGAAGTGGAGGAGGAGAGGAGGAGGAGGAGGAGGACGGAGGAGGAGGACAGGAGGGGGAGGAGGAGGACAGGAGGATGGGGGTGGGAGGAGGAGGAAGAGGAGGAGGAGGAGGGAGGAGGAGGAGGAGGAGGAGGAGAAGGAGGGAGGAGGAGGAGGAGGGAGGAGGAGGAGGAGGGAGGACAGGAGGAGGAGGAGGAGGAGGAGGAGGAGGAGGGAGGAGGGAGGAGGAGGAGGGAGAGGGAGGAGGAGGAGGAGGAGGAGGAGGAGGAGGAGGCTGGTTCCTGGCGCACCGCCCCCCCGCGGGCGTGGAGCGCGCTGCCGGGCAGAGCAGGCGCAGAGGGAGCTGCGGAGGCTCACGGGCAAGATGGAGGCGGCCCAGAGGAGCGCCGGGCTCACAGCCAAGGCGGAGGCAGGCCCACAGCCAAGGTGGAGGCTCACAGCCAAGATGGAGGAGGAGGAGGAGGAGGAGGAGGAGGAGGAGGAGGAGGAGGAAGGGGAGGAGGAGGAGAGCAGCGCAGCTGGGTCAGCGAGGGGATCGGCATCGCCCAGGCAGATGGTCGGGAGCTTCGGCTTGGCGTGTCGCTCCCTCGATTCTGGCCCGCCGCGCTTCGGCGCGACGCGCTATCCACGTCGCGATCCCCGATCATGAACATCCCGAGCTTTTCCCAGCGTCCCGCGGAGCGGAGCGGAGCGATCCGCTATCAGCATTCAAGGCATGGCGTGACGCCGGGGCCGCACTCGTGCGATGTGTGCGTGGCCCCCCCGGGGGCGACTCGCGCGCTCGACAGTCTTGCAGTGAGTGCTCGCCGGCGGCCGCTTTCTGGTCACACTGCCAGGGTGACGGTATACCATACCGCCAGATGGTGCTAGCTGCCCGGCTCGGACGTGCGCCTCCAAGGGGGGGGGGGGGCGTACAGTGTTTCTATGTCCGTCTGCGTCCCAGTGGAGGGAGGCGGGCAGACCTTCGCGCGCCGGGGAGCAGAAGCACGGCGGGCGCATCTCGGCGGCATCCGCGGCCGTCGTCCGCCCCCGGGGCCCTTCCGCGCTCTTGGGTTCCGTCTCCGCCGCTCGCGCTCTCGTCTCTGCCTCGGCGTGCCCCCCCGCTTCGCAGTCGGGCTGCGAACTTCCTCGGCTGATCCCATGCCTCTCGGCCGTGGGGCGGCTCGCTCCGTGCCCCAGTTCCGCCCTCTCGCGTGTCTCCCCCCCCTCTCCTCTCCTTCGGCCAGGTTTCACGGCGGGGGGGGGTTCACAGCAGTGTCGCCTGCTCCACGGCCCCCTGCCCTTTGAGGCTGTGCCTGGCCCGCTCGGCTGTCCTCCGGGGCGCCTGCTGGGGTCCACCCGTCGCCCCCTGGGGTCGCCCTGTCGATTCGCCTGGCTTTGCGGCCAAGGCTTATGTCGGGCGTGTCCCCCTACAGGGGGATTTTCGACTTAGAAATATTCCAAAACAGTAGTCAAAAAATAGTCCAAAAATAGTCCAGGGACTATTTTTTGAAAGCATTTTTTGACAATTTTGGAATATGTGTTGAGTATTTCTCCCTACCTAGGCTCTGCCTAGAAGGGTTCTTACTCTGAGGCTTAAAGGGCCGGGCAGTGGGGCACGTCCCGGGCGGTTCCCCCAGCATCCGCCCCGCGGTTCCCCCAGTGACGTTCCTTTAGCTTCGCGTTGCTTATCTCATCTTAGCTTAACTTGTTACATCTTACCTTAGCTTAGTGTAATCTTACCTCAGTTGTATCTTAGCTTAGCTTACCTTCATCTTAGCTTCGCTGAGCTTTAGCATAGCACAGCACAGCATAGCATAACGTAGCATAGCATAGCGCAGCATCGCATATCATAGCACGGGTGTAATTCCCTACCTATGCTCTGCTTAGAGGGTTAGCTTAGCTTAGCTAAGTTTTACTCAGCATAGCGCAGCGCTGCATTAGCATAAGATAGCATAGCATACTATAGCCAAGCATAGCATAGCAGAGCGCAGCATAGCATAGCATAGCATAGCATAGCATAGCATCGCATAGCGCAGCTTAGCATAACATAGCTAAGCTTAAGGGGCAGGGCAGTGGGGCTCGCCCCGAGTGGTTCCCCCGGCATCCGCCCCGCGGTTCCCCCAGTGATGTTCCCTTAGCTTCGCGTTGTTTATCTCATCTTAGCTTAACTTATTACATCTTACTTAGCTTAGTTTCATCTTACCTCAGTGTTAGCTTAGTTTAGCTTACCTTCATCTTAGCTTCGCTGAGCTTTAGCATAGCAGAGCACAGCATAGCATAGCATAGCGTAGCATAGCATAGCGCAGCATCGCATATCATAGCATAGCCCAGCATAGTATAGCATAGCGCAGCATAGCATAGCATAGCATAACATAGCATTGCATAGCGCAGCACAGCACAGCATAGCACAGCGCAGCATTGCATATCATAACATAGCATAACATAACATAGCATAACATAGCATAGCAGCAGAGCAAAGGCAAAGCAACAGCAGCGACAGCAAAACACATTCACTACCTAGGCTCTGCCTAGATGATTAGCTTAGCTTAGCTTAGCATAGCGCAGCGCTGCATTCGCATAGCATGGCATGTAATAACATAAACAAGCATACCATAGCATAGCATAGCGCAGCATAGCATATCATAACATATCAGAGTAGATCATAGCATGGCATAGCGCAGCTTAGCACATATCATAACTTAGTATAGCACAGGGCAGCATGACATAACATAGCTTAGCATAGCATAGCATAGCATAACATAGCGCAGCATAGCATAGCATAACATAGCGCAGCATAGCATGGCATTGCATAGCATAGCATAGCAACTAATGCTGCTTTCCTAGGGGCTCCAACTTCTAGGTAGGGTCGCACTGGAGTAATTCATTTTTCGTCGAAAATCCCCATGTCGGGGGACACGCCCGACTTAAGCCAAGGCGAGCGTGGCTCCCTCGTGTCGTCGATCGTGGGGGGTGGGGGGGGCGTCGGCAGGCCTTCGGAGGCAGTTTGGCGGGCTGGCGGCGCGGCCCGCAACTCCGCCTGGAGGCGCGAAGCGTTTTGGAGAGGGTGCCACAAGCATGTGCTGCGTCTCGCCTGCTCCATTGTGTCCTCCCATCGTCGGTTCGACCTTCTGGCCTTCGGCTGTTTCTCTGTTTCTTGCCTTGCCCCCTGCTCCTGTCCATGGCGTACCTTGTCCTGTGCAAGATCTTCGGCACCGCCTGTACTCTGCACCCTCCGGCCGCCTGAGGCCCCGCCCGCCCGCGCCCTGTCTCCTTAATTAGAGCTTCGCGCGCCCCGCCTAGCCCTTGACCGGAAGGGGCCTGCTCCCGACCCGCCGACCAAGAACCTGTTTCCCTGCTTTTTCCGTGCTCGCTGTTCTGCCCCCCCCTCCTCGCTGGCCGCGCCGCGTTCTCTGACCCGTCCGTGCTACCTCCGGCTCCTTCTTCACAGCCGTGACGCGGTTCCGGGTGGGTCCCTCGGTCTCTGTGCAGTTGTCTCACAGCCGTGATGCAGTCGGTGGTCATGTCGAGCCCATGGGTACTGTCCAGCAGCCATGTTCCGCATTTGTCCTGCTTTGGCCACCTCGTTGTCCAGCGTCGGCGAGCGAGAAAGAAAAGATGTTTGCCTCTGGTCGGGTGGCGGGTTGTCTCCCACTGCCACGAGGCGGCCCGCCCAGTCTCCAGCTCCCCGCGCCTCACGGTCGTGATGCGCGCCATTGTGGCCGCGCCACCGCGGGGAGGTCCTTCCTCCCTTGCGTTGCGGCCTCTCCCTCTTGCGGGCTCGCGGTGTTAGTGCACAGTAGCGCCCCTTTTTCTCCACAGGCGTGACACGGAGCGCTCAGCTCGGTCCAGGGCCTCTCGGCCTGGCGACGGCCCGTTGCGCCCCGCTGCCCCCCTTCGCGTGTTCCCCGTTCTTGGACCAGGCCCCGCCTCTTAGGGCGTCCGCAGTGTCGTCACTTGCTCCCTCGTCAGGCCTGGCATCGCTCGGACGTGTGCGTATCTTCTCGGCGAGAACCATCGAGGACCATCCTGGACCATCGAGCAAACAAAAAACACGCACGAGACCGACAAATGTACGGGATATGGGCGTCCGAGCGACGGCAAGCAGGCCCCCTCCCATCGGAGGTGCCCGGTCCTCTGCGCCGCCCCCCTCGGCCTGGCAAGGGCCCGCTCGTCGCCCCACGGGGTCGCCACGCCGCTGCGCCCGGCTGCACGGCTCGGGGGGGGGCTGCTTGCGCCCCGGGGAGGGGGGGGGGCGGGCGTCGGCTGGCTGTCGGAGACAGTCCTCCGCGCGAGCGTGGCGGCCCGCAGCTCCGGCGAGCGGCGCTGCCCGACTCCGCGAGGGGAGCGGCGGTCGGCGGGCGGCCTGCTCCTGCTCGCCCTGGAGGCTGGAGAGGGCAGGCGGGGAGAGGGGCGTGTGATGCCACCTCCTGTCCCTCGTCGGCTGCACGGCTCCGACCTGCTCACGCTAGGCAGCTCTCAGCGGCGTGGGCGTCCAGGGGCGATATTTCGGCGAATCGTGGCCCCCTGGGACCGTCTGGGGAGCGTTTTGGTGCCTTCTAGGCCAGTTTTGGAGCCCTCCGCTCCCCGGTGGCGTGCTCAGTCCGGGGTCGGGCTCGGCCAAGGGGGGTGGGTGGGTGGGTGGGGGTGGGGTGGGGTGGGTGGGGGGTGGGTGGGGTGGTGGGGTGGGGTGGGGTGGGGTGGGGTTGTGTGTGTGTGTGTGTGGGTGGGGTGGGGGGGGTGGGGTGGGGTGGGGTGGGGTGGGGTGGGGGGGGGGGGGGGGGCAAATTGCCGGTTTGGGGTTCACACGCCTAGAGACCCACAAGGGGTCGGCGGAGTTCGATTGGAAGTGGCGTTCCCGCGTGGCTGCGAGGTATGCGCCGGTCTCAGATTCCCAGCGCGTCCGCGCGAGAGCGGGCGAGATGGCGTCCTCGCCAAAGCTTCGCGCAGCTTGTCTGTGAAAGTGGCAGTGCTGTTTCGTGCGCAGCGCATTCTTCGCCTACGCCGCGCTACTCAGAAACCGGGCCGCCCGAGAGAGAGGGACAAATGGTGCTCTCGCCGCAGAGCCGCGCGAGGATTTTCTGAAGCTCCGCCCCCCCGCCCGTGCACGGCGCGCGTGTCGATCCCCCTCGCCAGGTCGTCGGAAGAGGGGCCGTGCGCAAGGGCCGTCCGCACGCCAGGTGGGAGCACGCTCCAGACCCAAAGGCAAGTTGTGGCACAATTGATTATTGTGTTCTGCGGTGGATGGTGGGACTGGCCAGGCACCAATTACTCGCTCGACCTGGCTAGCTTGGTCGCCTCCCCCTCCTCCGAGCCAATCCTCCTGATATGCCTCTTCCTCCTCTTTCTCCCCCTGCTCCTCTCCCCCCATGCGGTGGAGGAGACGTAGGGGGGAGGAGGAAAAACGCCAGTCAGTAGGTCCTGGCGCTCCTCCTTTCTCCCCGCTGCGCCTCCTCATTCTCCTCGATGTTCCTCCTCCTCCTCCTCCGCCTCCTGCCCTTCCCCTTCTTCGATCCTTGCAGGACGTGCCGGGCGAAGGTGTCCCAGGCGGAGAAGGCCTGCCGAACCATCTCGGAGGGGCGGGGAGGGGGGCGTGGCGAGGACATGCGGCAGGGAGAAGAAGGGACCCAGGCCTCCAGAAGTTTCGAGCGTGCCGGGTCTGATGGTTCCCCTGTTCTCGGGTTATGATGTTCCAGCCCACGTTAGCCTGGATCACCAGAAAGAATTTCGAGCACCAAAACAAGTACCGAAACTCACGGGTTTCACGTGTCGGGCCCTGGGAGACACTCGTCCGACACTGTTTTGACACTCTTTCGACGCTTTTCTGGGTACTCAAAGTTATATTCGGGATATGGTCCTTAAGTACGATGGGAACAACACAGGTCTTGGGCATCTCGGGACCTTGCGGGGGCCCATCTGAGTGTGGACACATCTCAGGGTAAAAAGCCGATCCAACAGAGGGTGTCGAGAGGTCTAGGGCCCCGAGATTTGAGCGCATTGCATCGTCGGAGGTCTGTGGGAGCAGGAGGGATGAGAGAGGGAGGGGGGAAGGAGGAGGAATTGGATTGACGTGCATGTGGCGGTGCTCTGCTAACCCTGGAAGCTGGCGACAGCTGCGCGTTTGGCGGTCTCTCACGGAACGCTGTCCCGTGTGGATCTGCGTATGGTCGCACTGTGTTGCGCCCTCACGGAGCGCAGGAACGCGGTGACGATGGTGCGTTTGGCGGCACCCTTGGAAGTTATGACTCGATTGGATCATCTCCTGAGTAAGTGTTCAACTGGATCTTCGAATGTATCCAGGCGGCACCGTACTGGGCAGGATCAACCCTTAGCGAAGAGCTATCCCGAGAGGCGGAGGTAGGGGAGAGATGGGAAGCAGGAGAGGAGGAGGAAGAAGGCGGCGAGGGGTCGGGGAAAAGGGAGAAGGAGGAGGAGCTGGAAGGGGGTGGAGGGAGTGGCGGGGGAGAACGAGAAGGAGAAGGAGGAAGGAGGGAATAGGGGCGAGGAGGAGGGCAGAGGGGAGGAAGGAGGGACCAAGGAGGAGGACGTGGAGGGACGAGCTGGAGAGGAGGAAGAGCGGAGGAAGAGAGGAGGAAGACGAGGATGAGGTACGGGAGGACGATCGCGGAGACGAGGATGAGACCGCGGCGCCCGGGGAGGAGGCAAAGGCCGCCGTCATCTCCAGCGCGCTTCGGGCTGAGGTGGGCAAGCGAGGCACGGCGGGGCACTGCGCCGTGCCGGGGGGCGTCCTCCTCCCGCTCCTGCTGCTCTTCGGACAGGCGGAGGAGGAGGAGGAGGAGGACGAGGAGGAGGAGGAGGAGGAGGAGGAGGAGAGGAGGAGGAGGAGGAGGTGGAGGAGGAGGAGGAGGAGGAGGAGGGGGGGGAGGAGGGGGAGGAGGAGGAGGAGGAGGAGGAGGAGGAGGAGGAGGAGGAGGAGGAGGAGGAGGAGTAGGATCAAGCAGTGGCGAAGCGTCCCGGCTCGCCTATAGCCCCACCAAACAATGTTCTAAGAACTTTTCGTGGTCTCCACGAAATGTTCTTCCAACATTTCTTGCTGGGACTGTTTTGTTTTAACGCACCGGGCTTATGTTCTATGAACATTGTTTTTGTTATTCGAACATTTTTGGGTTCTAAGAAAATTTCGTGGTATGTTTATAGGCATGCCGGGACGGTCGGTCCCTGCTCAATAGGAGGAGGAGGAGGAGGAGGAGGAGGAGGAGGAGCTGGAAGATAAGCGAGACGACAAGCAGGAGGAAGTGAAGGAGGAGGAAGGAGGAGGAGGAGGAGGAGGAGGAGGAGGAGGACGAGCAGGAGCAGGAGCAGGAGCAGGAGCAGGAGCAGGAGCAGGAGCCGGAGCCTGCGGCACGCGCAGCTTCGCGAGCGGGGCCTGGCCAGTATGCGACCGCATCGCTCCCTAGCGACGGTCCTGGCCCAGCTGCTGCGCCAATGCTGGGTGGAGGTCGATGTCGAGCGCACCGTGACCGAGCTCGAGCGGTGAACCCCTGCAGGCCGGGTCTAAGAGGCGATCTTGGACTTAGTGGTGTGGACCTCCCCATCAGGCGCCTGCATGCCGCTCGGTACCTGCGCGCCGCGGCCGTGCCAGGCGACGCAGCAGCTGCAGCAGCTGCCGACACGCGCCGGCGGTACGTCTCCGAGGTCTTTTGCTGGTGGCTGTGGCGTCGTGTGGTCGGCCGGGCGTTGCCGCAGTCAGGTCGTTGGAGCATCTGGCCGTGCACGCTGGGGCCGCCCTCCCCGACGTTGGGCGGCGCCCAGGCTGGCTCCGCGGTGGCGGGCCGCCCTGGACAGCATTGCGCTGTTCGCGGCCGCCGACGTCGACCTCCTCGCCTTCAGCTGCTCCGCGACAGCCTCTTAGACCCAGCTGACGCGGGGCCGCGTCACGGGGGCGGCGGTGCAGCCATGGGTGGCCATATGACTTCACAGTTTTGGGATGAGGGTGTGTTCGCTTGCAGGTGGTACCAAGCAGGAGCGGGAGGAGCAGGGGGACCGGGGGAAGACGGAGGAGGGAAAATATAGGGGCGACAACGACGAGGAACGAGTCGGATCCACAAATGTGGTCTGCGCTGGGGCGAGAGCGCCGTTCTGAACAACGGGAGCAGATCGCCGATCCTAAAATGAGGCCAGCGCTGCTGCGATACACCGTTTGGGAAACCTAACAACAAGAACGTCCCCACTGGAATCGCACATGACATTCGGGGAAACGTAAGACTCGAGTACGCTGGGACTTGGGTTTGCCGACGTTTTTTGGCGAGCGCGTCTGGGAGTTTGACGGTCCAGTTTTCGTGGGATGTTTGCAGCGGGAGTTCGCGTCAAATTTCACGTTTGGGTCTCGTTATTTTCATGATGGCCCCGTCAGGTCATGTCGAGTCCCCCGAGTCCGAGTCGCATTTTCCCCTATATAAGTTCACTAGAAGTCTCGTGCGTGAAAGCAATACGCGGGAATGGTGGGGCCACGACGGCGCAGTGTCAGGGGAGAGGTGAGGGTGGTACTCATATCGGTTAATTCGCAAGGGGGGGGGAACGGCAGGAGAAAGGACAGGAAAGGAGGAGATGGATAGGGGAAAAGGAAGTTAGCGGGAGGAAGCGGCTGGGGAAGGGACGGGGAACGGAGGAAGGCGGGGGGGGGGGGGAAGAATGGCGTGAGGAAGAAGAGAGAGGAGGAGGAGGAGGAGGAGGAGGAGGAGGAGGAGGAGGAGGAGGAGGACGATGAGGAGGAGGAGGAGGAGGAGGAGGAGGAGGATGAGGAGGAGCAGGAGGAGGAGGAGGAGGAGGAGGAGGAGGAGGCCGAGGCCGAGGACGAGGACGAGGACGAGAATGGCCATCTGGCCCAAGTGTGTCTGGTGCCCCCCAGGGGTGCCAGCTGGCGCAGGGCCCCGGAGGAGCCACGCAGGAGCAGGGAGGGGGGGCGGCGGCGCCGCCCGCCGAGGCCGCGCGTGCCCCGTCGCGGCCACGCGCCGTGGAGGAGCGCAGACGGTGAGGAGGCACTCGCAGGGAGGCGGCACGAGTGCTGGTCGCCCCTCCGCTGGGCCCCGCGGCTCGAGGTGCAGCAGGCACCAGAGCACGGAGGGGGGTGACGACCGTCGTGCCCAGGAGGGCGCGAGGTGGCCGGAGCTCGCGCCTTGGAGGAGCAAGGCGCCTTTGCCCGCGCAAAAAGTGTGCGCCTGCTCGCCCTCCGCCGCCATCGTCGTCTGCGTCAGCATCTGAGGTGAGAAGGAGAAGGAGAAGGAGGAGGAGGAGGAGGAGGAGGCGGAAAGCGGCCTGAGCGGTCTAGGCCTCGCGACGCCCACGAGCCGCGATCCGCCCGTGGCCGAGGGGCGGAGCTGCCGATGGGAAACCCTTCAATTTCCAGTGGCCTCGAGATCGCTCACAAACACATGTCCAAACCACCCATCAAATCACGACGACGACGGCCACCCCACAAGTTCTGGTCGCCCCTCCGCACCACCCACCAAGCCACCCTTCTCAATTGCCAGTGGCCTCGAGATCACTCACAACACACATGTCCAAGCCACCCATCAAATCACGACGACGACGACGACGTCCCCACAAGTTCTGGTCGCCGCTCCGCACCACTCACCAAACCACCCTTCAATGGCCAGTGGCCACGTTTTCATTCACAAACACATGTCCAAACCACCCATCCAATCACGGCGACGACGACGACGACGGCCACCCCACAAGTTCTGGTCGCCCTTCAGCACCACTCACCAAACCACCCTTCTCAATTGCCAGTGGCCTCGAGATCGCTCACAAACACATGTCCAAACCACCCATCAAATGATCACGACGACGACGACGACGTCCACCCCACAAGTTCTGGTCGCCCTTCCGCATCACGCACCAAACCACCCTTCCATTGCCAGTGGCCTCGAGTTCGCTCACAAGCACATGTCCAAACCATCCATCAAATGATGACGACGACGACGTCCAACCCACAAGTTCTGGTCGCCCCTCCGCACCACTGACCAAACCACCCTTCAATTGCCAGTGGCCTCGAGATCGCTCACAAACACATGTCCAAACCACCCATCCAATCACGACGACGACGACGGCCACCCCACAAGCTCTGGTCGCCCTGCCGCACCACTCACCCAACCACCCTTCAATTGCCAGTAGCCTCGAGATCGTTCAAAAACACATGTTCAAGCCACCCATCAAGTCACGACGACGACGACGTCCACCCCACAAGTTCTGGTCGCCCCTCCGCACCACCCACCAAACCACCCTTCAATTTCCAGCGGCCTCGAGTTCACTCACAAACGCATGTCCAAACCACCCATCAAGTCACGACGACGACGACGTCCACCCCACAAGTTCTGGCCGCCCCTCTTCACCACTCGTCAAACCACCCCAACCCAAAGCGAAGACCTCGATTCGCCCTCCACTTCCAGTGGGGGGGGCGGCGGGGAACATTGAGAAAACACACCTGGAACTCGTACCCCCCCCCCCAACCCGAAATTCGGATTTTCGGGTTGGGTTGGGGTGGTCTGGTCGGTAGTCACCTCCGCAGGGTGTGCCCGCTCAGAAATTACAGCAGGCAGGGAGGGGGCCGCCCGGGTGCTGCGAAAGGGGCGGGCGGAGCAGCCCTGGCTTGCTGAGGCCATCGTTGGTCGGTGGTGCACGAGTCGTGTCAGATCGGCGCTGGAAAAAAAGTATGTATGTGTGGACAAACCAAATGTCAGGCATGGGGGCAGTTGCAAAGGTCGATGCAGGATCGGCAGTTCTTGCACATTGTTTCCGTCTGGCTTCCTCGTGTCAAGGTGGGCGGCCTGGCCGCGCAGCCCACATGGACCTGCAGCGACCCGTGTCGACCCCAACCGTAACCCGCCGTGTCGAGAAAGACGGGAATGCCCGATGCAGCAGTCTTGAACACTGATCCGCGAAGCACTTTTTATGTTGCGTCCGACCCGCCTCCTTGTGCTCCCCTCCCTGCGCCCCCTCCCTCCTTGGAAATGCGCCGCCTCTGGTGCGTGCACTTTCCTGTGTGCGTGCGCGTGGAGGCCGCAGCGGCGGACGCGGCCGCTGGCATGCCGTATAGGAGGGCATGCCGGCCGCGAAGGTCTGCCACCTTTGCCGAGACGACGCTGACACCTCGATGGCGGCCACGGTGGCGAGGAGGGTGTCAGAGCCCCGAATCATCAGGGGTAACTCGGGTCAGGGCTAACTCGGGTTCCTTTTTCGGGAATCCAAACCCGAGTTACCCCGGACCCGAGTTACCCCAGATAACTCGGGCGCCCAAGGCTGGTTTTGGCAAAGGCGCGCGAGGTCAGATGGCAGGCAACATCAGGGAGCAGCGCCAGTGGACGCCCAGCGCTGCCTTGAGCAACCTTCCCCGCCGGGTGCTGCAGAGTCGTTGGCGCAGACCACTGGAAGAGGAATTATGTGCGTGTGTGTTTGCGTATGTGTCTTTGGCGTGGCGCCCCTCTTGCCCGTCCGCTGGTGCGGGCCGCGCTCTGCCCGCCCAACTCCGGCGCGGTGCGTGCGCGTGTGTGCGTGTGTGCGTGTGTGCGTGCGTGCGTGCGTGCGTGCGTGCGTGCGTGCGTGTGCGTGTGCGTGTGCGTGTGCGTGTGCGTGTGCGTGTGCGTGTGCGTGTGCGTGTGCGTGTGCGTGTGCGTGTGCGTGTGCGTGTGCGTGTGCGTGTGCGTGTGCGTGTGCGTGTGCGTGTGCGTGTGCGTGTGCGTG